CACACACAAACACATAAAGAATTTTATATTAGAAGGGTATGAATTTCTAAAGTAGGCTAACAGTTGAAGGGTATTTATGTTGTTTGATTATGTTAAACCGCTAAATGCGGTATGTAATGTTTACTCATCTTTTCTGTCTTCACCTCCCCTTTCACTCCCCAGAGTTGACATGCTCTTTGAGGGAGGTCGCGACTTCACCACACCGAGCCTAGCCATAGGATTCCGGCCCGAGGCGGATGTGCTGAGCAACGTGAAGAACGACATCATGCCCAAATACATGCCCATATTTGAGAAGGTTAGTAGACAGAGGATTGATGGATAGATGGATGGATGGATGAATGGATGGATGGATGAATGGACACCGGATATGAGGGTGGATGGATGGATGAATGAATATATATGTGTATGGGTGGGTGGATGACTGGGATGGACGGATGGATGGATGGACGGATAAATGAAACAGTGCGATCGGTGGATGAATTGACGTGGTGGGTGGATGGATAACTGGATGCCAGATGGATGAACAGATGGATTGATAAATAGAACATGTAAATGGATGGATGGATGAATGGTGGATGGATGTATGTATGAATAGTAGATGGATGGATGGATGAATAGTATATAACATGACGGATGGATGGATAAATGGATGGATGAAACAGTGCGATGGGTGGATAAATAGAAGTGAGTGAGTAGGTTAGTGGATGGATGGATGGATGTGCAAATTTCGTGAAAATCATGAACTCAAGTTGCACACCAAAGCAAAAACAAATACTTGTAAATAAATAAATAAATAAATAAATAAATAAATAAATAAAAAATAAACAACAAAAAGACCAAACAAAAAAACTGCGGCAAACAAGAATGTCATCATGTTACCTCCCCCCCCCCCCTTTGCACCCCCAAAGGTAGCGTCAGAGAACGGCACAGGCTACCTGGTGGGAGACAGCCTCACGATAGCTGACCTCAGTGTGCTGGAGGGACTCTTGACATTCACAGAGTACTTTGGCAAAGAAATATTTGAGGGATTTCCAGCGCTAGAGGTAAGTCCTTGTGTTCCAAAGGAATCTTTTATATATATATTAATAGCCCCCCCCCCCTTTCTTATATATTAATCTTAATTTTATTACTTTAATACTAACAGGCATTGATCGTCATCATCATTGTTTTAAAAGCTGAGTAGGTAGGCTCGTTTGATTTACAAACAAAATCATCATCATCATGTACCCACATCGACACAAGTTAGATAATTCAGGAAGTTCGACACTTAGACAAGCCTGTCAGAACTAATTTGGGTCACATGGGATCGAGATGTAGACCCTCATTTGCAGTGTTACACTTAACATCATCATCGTCATCATCAGTTTTCAAGTGGGTTTTTTAGTAGGCTATATGTCACCAAGAGCTCCCATAGGCCTACTTCTGTCCTGGGTTATAAAACTTATAGTAGTAACCACCTCTGTCCAGCTCCATCCCATCTGCTTTAGGTCCAAATATCTAAACCCCTCCTACTCCCAATACTTTTAAGCCTTCCTTTCTTTCTCTTTCCTCCTGGATTCCATAGTATTCTTATGGGTTGGTGAGTAATGTTGACATTGTGTTCATATTTTATAGTCAGAGACCCCTCCCCCTTCTTTAAAAAGAAAAGAAAGAAAGAAAACTTACAAAAACAATACACTGTTTATGCGTAGTTATTTTACTGACTGAATCCCCCCACCACATTTTTTACCGCCATTACATTACAAAGCAAGAGCTTAATGAAGAATGTCAATTTTTATCAAATTTAGAAAAAGTAAATTTTGATCCCCCCATTCTGAAATATGTTAAAAGTAAGGTATCTTTTGAGCCTGACGTTGCAGAAGCCCAAATATAGCCCCACAGTAAGTGAAGACCCAGAATGTGCATAGCATATATTCAAGTAAGTTCTGGATAGAGGGGTTCAATCTGGCTTTTACTTTCACCCTTAATTCTTCTCGTTTGCATTTTCTCAGAAATTCTTCAACAAGGTGACATCCCTGGAGAAAATATCGGCTTATCTGAAGAGCCCTCGCAGGAAGAAGAAGAATGATGAGCACTGCATCGCCAAAGTCAAAGAAATTCTTGACTGGAATTGAATTAATGTGACAATAAACTTTACCGATACGTTGTATTGTAAGCAGTAAAAGTGGACTTCCTTTTCATTCATTGTACCCGGTACTGTTATCGATCAGATTGCCTGTTTAAAATCATTTCAAAGTCTATTGGGCCCTGTTTCGTATTGTGAATGGTGATCAATATTTTTTTAAAAATTAATTTACACAAATGAACCATGTAAAAGTAAGATATTGAATATTAGATATGAAGGTGATCATTATTTTTTTTTAATTTACACAAATGAACCATGTAAAAGTAAGATATTATTAAATTTACTGGTACTCTGTTTGTGCAGCGATTGAGAGTTTTGTGAGAAGTTACATGAGTATTAGACTTTTGGGTCGAGTATCTTGAGTATCATTGGGTCAGCTTTTCATCATGTTGCAGTTGTTATTCAATTGTTGCTTTTTTTCTCTCTCTATTTTTGTTGATGTTTTCAAAATGACCATTTACACAATAAAAGTTGTGCGAAAATAGTCAAGGGTCTTTATACATATATTATTATATGTATGATACACACACCACCATCAAATCTCTCATGACTATTATTATTATAATGCTTTATGCCCGTGTCGACACAAGTTAGATAATGCAGGAAGCTCGATACTTGGACAAGCCTATTAGAACTAATTTGGGCCACATGGGATCGAGATGTAGACCCTCATCAAGGCGCTCATATGACCCTATGCAGTTGCGAGCGCCGTAAAATCTCTACTACTAAAATTTTTTTAAGACCCTCAGCTGTAGTGTATAAGCGGGGAGCTTCACAGTGACTTCACCACTGCATTCAGAAGACGTGAGTTCGATTCCCAAATAAAGAGGGTTTTTTTATTCATCTCAATCTGCTGAGCCACTGTACCACTCTCAGCTTAAAAGTAAGGTGGCCCTGACAGAGTCAATGCAGCCCGTCTCCTGAATGTCAAAACTGTCGATAGGGGCATAAAAATCTACGGTCTCTTAGACTTAGAGTGGGATGGGCAAAATAATCACCAATTCCTCAGAAGAGTGAGACACAGCTGTCTAGCAGACTAACACAGCAGATAGTAGATAGGATAATAATAATAATAGATAGCATTTGTATAGCGCATATCCCCGCTCAACAGCAGGCTCTATGCGCTTTACACTATATTATTACCCCAGTTGACCATAGAACACTCCGAAACATTCTCAGCTTCCCAGGAAGCATACAGTGCGAGCAGCCGATTAAGCGCTCAAACACTAACAAACTGACAAGATCTTTCGCTGTCTATAGCCGGGTACCCATTCCCACCTGGGTGAAGTGAGGAAAATTCGTGTAAAGTGCTTTTCCCAAGGACACAACGTCGGGCCCCTGACGGGATTCGAACCCACGACCTTACGGTTGCGAGTCCGAGAGCCTAACCACTAGGCCACCGACGCCACTACGGGATACAAATGTGTACATATGTACATTATAAAGAGAATGTGGGTGGTTGGTGGGAGCTCTGGTATGGTTTGCTTCTTTCCAATTAAACATCTTTATCCTTCTGCCCATTTCTCTCCTTCTTCTCCTTTTCTTTACATGTTACTCTCTAGCAGTAACACCTTTAATTTTCAACACTTATGTGGCTTATTTCAAATTTGTGTTGAAAGTTCAAAACTCTAACTAAAACTTTAAAAAAAAGAGAACTACAGCCACTTCATCAAAAGAAGGGCAGTTCAGAAAGTGGCATTGAGCTGAAAATAAGCCAGTACTGGAGAGAAGATTCACATAAGAGCATGTTAAAATTTGACTGAAACTTAGTCTAGCATGTTTTCAATATGTTGTTATGTTTTACAAAGCTATATAAACTTCAAGTAAGAAAAAATCGGGCGCCTAAAAAAAATCTATTCGCTACATGTGCGTTCACTATGTGCATGCTAGACTGTACAAGTTATAAGGTTTCATAATAGAGTATCAATGTTAACCTTATCCGTACGTCCTGGGGTCATTTCGGGTTTTTTTTACTATTACTATCGTATCCATACGACATCACTGTGCCACCACTTTCCAAAGAAGAAATTTACTCGTTAATCCGATCTGTACGCTTTGCATAGCAGTCTGTCAAAATGATTTTTTGAGAAATACTGAAAGTTTCAAAGAGATCTTCACAATAGAAGTATTCTAAAATGTGAAGAATACAACCTCAGGGCTTACCGATAGGGTTAAGAAAAATAGCAGAATCTTGCACTCCGTAAAATACAAGACTATTCTGGTTTTCCTGCAGGGTTATTAAGAGCTATCTGCACAGGACTACTGAAAAAGTATACACCACACTGGTCAAAATAAGTTGCAATCAGAATACTTTTCTGACAAATACAAACTAGACAAAAATGCCTAGATTTATTCTGGTTCATACCTTTGGCAAAATTTCATTTCTTTTAAATTTTAAAATTAACCAAGTGTTTTTACTTATATTGTTTCAGTATAGAGAAGCCTGTCGACACAAAAGCAGCCATTTAGTGCAGAGAAAAAGTCAGATGGATAGACAGAGACATCAGAAAGAATTTTAAAAATTAGGACCTACTACTTGTCCCCTTTAACAACATGCTAAATCAAGGACCCGACGTTGTGTCCTTGGGAAAGGCACTTTGCACAAATTTTCCTCACTTCACCCAGGTGGAAATGGGTACCCAGCTA